TATATAAGTATATATATATATATATATAATAATCTCGACTTGGTTTTTCCCCTCCCAAACCAAGCAGGGAGCAGCGGTGCAGTTGCGTCCATTCTGCCTCGTCACAGCCCTCGCTGGGAACAACTCTCGCTGCAGGCTGAAAGACTCATTTGGTCTTTGGGCATTTGTAAAAAAAAAAAAACAAAAAACCAAAACCCAAAATTTTCTGAAAATGAAGCGGAGCTGACTCATCCTGACTGACCGACGCAGGGTTGTGTCTGTGGGGAATATTTATAGCCAGGCAGATCCCATCTCGTTTCTCAGACGGGTCTAGTGAGGATCAGCAGCGTGTTGCAGTCAGTTCTGTTCAGTGCAGTGGAGGGTTGAATAATCACCTGTCTCGTGGCATTTCAGCTGTGAAATTTTGTCAGAATTCCATCAAAAACGGGCTTTTGCGCTGTCGAGAAGACACCCTGGAAGGATCCTTCCCCCCCCCAGCGCTCTCCGTTAAAGGTTTCTGCTGATCCACAGCCTGCACCTTTTCTCCCTGCCTGTGTTTTGGGGGGTGTGAGGGTGTGCGGGACAGGGCTGTCGGTTGCCATAGCAGCAGGAGGGATGTCCCCATCGCTGCGGGATGCAGTTCAGGAAGCACAGCGCGGGCCCTCCTGGCTTTGGCGTCTGCTGCAGGTAGAGAAAACCCACAGCCCAGGCTCTGGAGTGGTGGATGCTCCTCTTCTGCGCGAGGGGAGCAAGCTGGCAAATTGTGCTGGCAGACAAAATGCCGGTTTTAATTAGTCATCGTCATTGATCTGGCGCTGGGTGTTCCCGCAGCAGGGCTGGGAGCGGGGGGCATGTCCCTTCTTGAGTGCCGTGCCAGGGCACGTGCCAGCCTTGCCCCCGCGCTGTGCTGGGGGGACAGCAGCGCTGCTTCTCTTCCCTGCAGGGATTCAAGGGAACAGATAGTTAATTTTTAAATTAAACATGTAGGGTATGTCATTCTTTGTTCATCCCTTGCAGTTTTAGTAACTGCAATGGCTACAACAGGCTGCAATATCCCCCAACTTTGTTTAATTGATACTTACATGTGATAGTTTAATTAGGGGTTGCTGTACAACGCTGTTGTTCTTAATTTATACCCATACAATTATGAGCAGGCTTGCTTTCTTTAATTCCATAAATATTGGTGCAGACTAAATAACACAGTTGCTTTTAAGGGGTTTGTCTCCTCTATGCTCCTGTGTTCACTGGGTTACAGAGATATTGCATAAACCAAACTTTAAAAGCCAAATCTGCTCCATCGTGTACGGAGTTCAAAAGTGAAGCTGCGGGAGGAAGGCTGTGATCCTGCGAGTGTCAGAGGGACGCTGCATGGCTTTACTAATGCCTGCATGAAACAAATTGTGGACTCCAGAGTCTTAAATTTTGAGTCATAGTGGTGCAGGGATTATACGATGTCGGCACAGTAGCAAGTTGGGGCAAAAAGTGTTGTTAAGTATTGTGTCCCATGATGCAGAGTATTTACAAATCCCGTGCTTGTACTGGCTTCTCAAAAGACTCGTGAACGTGCCGAGCTTGATGTTTGACCTCAGTGGGACTACTCATGTATTTAGGGTTATGTGTGTTTTTAAATCTTGGCACAATTAGGCTTCTGAACCTGACTCAAAGCGGGCTGTAGTCAGAGCTTGAATGGATTTGGGAGCTGGATCATCAAACCCAAGCTGTGGAGCCAGCAGCGTGCTCGGTCGGCAGCCCGGGATGTCGGATGGTGGGACAGGGACATGGTGGCCGTGGCACGCGGTGAGAGCTGGGCCGCGTTCTGCCTCAGAGCAAAAGCACCGTCCTGCATGATCTATCTTGATACAACATACATTGGTTGGGAAATGACACTGCAACAGGCTGGGGGGTCCAGAAAGGCGCTTGAAAGTTGCTTCATACCAAGAAATAATTTTTCCTTTAATGTAGGACATGAATGAGAAATATATTTTTTTTTTTAAATCTTGAGGCAAGAGAACCTTGTGAGCTTTTTTGTCCTCACGCAGACAGACTGTACCCGTTCTCATAACCTGATGCTGTCTGTCCCTCCCAGCTCACGTGCCAGTGGGACGTGTCCCCAGCAGCTGTTACGTGTCACCTGAGCCGCTGTCATCCTTCCAGGGGTACTGCTTGTGGAGACGGGGAGCTGGGATCTTCAGAACCACTGTTACCATCAAGAAATGGTACACGAGTTCAAATTCATTAGGAAAAAGTGTGGCTAGAGTTAAAGTTCAATCCAACCTTTTTATTTTCTTAGTCTTGAATCTGATAGATTCCCAATGTCTTCATGGGAATTTTATTCTTATAATGGATTTTATTCTCACCTTAAATTTTTAGATTGCTCCTTTCCCTCGTGTAAATATCATAAAGTTGATATGCCTGTGTATGGAAACTTTAACTTAGGCACACAAGAGAGTTACCAAGCAGAGATGAGTTTTCCTTTGCTTGCAGCTAGGCCTTGCTTTTGCCAAGGGCACCCTGCGGGTTTGCTGCCCGTTGGGCTGATTTTGATTTAATTGCCCAGAACTGCATCGTAGGGTGAAAACTTTGCCATCTGTGACACTGGAAAATATTCAGTTTTGTCCTGCTGGAAATGCTTGAATGAAATCTTCACTAGGGCTGGCTCTTGTGTCCTGCAGCTCCAAAGGAAGCTTTGTATTTTGTCAGTTGTAAATTCATAGAGGTGGTGCTCACAGCAGCACTTGGAACTAACTCCTCTGGTCGGGTTTTCTTCAGCCCTGACTTGCGCATGCTACAGAATTTTCTACTCAAGAGAATGAACATATTTTCCTACTTAGAGCACTTTATATATATTCTACTTGGCCTGCTCTGTGCAGGAGTTGAGGTACGTAGTCACTCTGAGCTATCTGCAGTTGGACAAGGGTAAAATCAATGAATTCATTTCAGCCCCCACCTAATCTGAGTTAATGTGCTGGAATCCCACTGGTGAAAAGCAAGGGCACTTGGCCATGGCCATTCCTTGATCCTTTAAGAGTTTGAATCCCTGTTAAGCATGCTTGTCTTACAACCTGCACTCGCACAGGATGTAATCAGTTTTGTTTTCCATCTGTTAAACAAGAGGCTTCAGATTAGCCAGTGCAAACAGAAATAATTATTTTTGTTCTTGCTGACAACAGCAAGGTTAACCACCACGTACCTAGCTCGTAGTGTTTTCCACACTCAGCAATTTTAAACACCTTGCTCTGTGTGTGTTACATGATTTGCCTTACAACCGGCAGGGATTTGGCTTTCAATATTGTCCCTTAATTACAGTAATTGCCTAAGTGGAGATCTCAACATCTCCCAGTGTCGTGCAGCCCGGACAGCAGCAGTGGAGCAGCCCGTCACCGCTCATCCGCCCACCGAGCCTGGCCACGTCCAGTGCAGATACGCAAATGTCACTGGGATCAAAACTTGGCTTCATAGGCTTGAATAAGGAAAAAACATCACCTACAGAATCCAAACCAAAACAATACAGCCTTCGGTTTTCAAGAAAATATTTTGATTTTATGACGTGGCTCAAAGGGACTGCTGACAAAATATATCTGGTAATTCCTAAGTGCAGCTGGCAGAACCGTGCATTATCTGTCAAAGCAAGGCTTATTTGGTTTTCAAGTGTAGGGATTTTTAAGATTGTTAATTTTTGATGATGGTAAATGGAAGTACCCATCAGAGGGTTCTCAGGAGACTGGGCTGCTCTGTCAGGGAAGAAGCATTTCCTGATCACGCACAGCCCTTGGTGAATCCTCCATCCCTCTCCGGAGTGCTGCCTTAGCTTGACTTTAACGTATGAACTCCAAGCAGGGGCATTGCACTCTGCCTCTAGTGACTTTAATAAGGAGCAGAGGAATTACTTAAAGAAATCTGTTAGTACTCGGTTTGGGGTTTTTTTTGTATGTTTCTTTTTTTTTTTTAAAGGCTGGTTTTGCGTATAAACATTAAATCCCTGCTTTCATGTTTGCACAAAACCCAGACATTTAGGCAGCTAAAACTGCTTTGGAGTATGGAATACTTTTTTTTTTTTTTTTCTTTCCCTTTTTTTAAATTTAACTGTTTAACTACTTATATATTTGGGGCTACATCATATTACTGAATTATAGCTGGAAAGAGATGACATGCATCCAGGTAGTCTCTGCAACTGATGCTACATCTTAGCATGCACCGCTGTATCCTACTTTGTTTATGTTCTGAGAAGACTGTTTGCTTTTATTTAACCACCAGATCCATTTTGTTCCCTCTGGGACAGGGATTCTTCATTTATGCAATAGCAATATCCTGCTTTAACAAGCAACAACTTGTTGGATGGAGTGCTTGAGGCGTTGAGTGACTGCTGAAGCTCCCGATCAGATACTCTTGGGTTGCTGTGCTCGCCCAGAGAACTGCATCCAAGTCTACAGCCAGAAGAGCCCTCGTGTTCAGAGCTAGCTGTTCTGTTTGTGGTTTGAAGGAATAGTTTTCTGCTTAACATTGACTAGTCTGGAGTCAGGATTGGTAGGCAATTTAAAGCATTTGCACGCTTGTGTAATGAACTGCTTATTACTTTTGCATAACCAGAAAGTTTGGGGATGTGGAATTTTAGTGCAACATCTGGCATCGAGAGGACCGGCTTTAAAAGTTTGATTTATCTCCTTTGCTTTTCTAAAATGATAAAATCTTGTCTATAAGGACAGAAGGTGTGCACCATTTCAGATCGCTTGGCTTTGCTTCCCTAGAACAAATCACTGTACTTGGATAAGGAAGTAGATTGGGTCGGTTTGTTCCTCTCAGGATCATCTTTTCTCCTCTGTATACTGAGACACTTTCTTAGTGGCAGAGAAAACAAGATGCATTAAATTTCCTGCGGGAGGCCACTGAACTAAGAACGGCCAGGGCCTGCTGAAGGTGGGAAAGTGAGGACCTCCATGGCGATGCGGGCATCCCACCGAAGGAAACATGATGGAGAGAGTTGTCCCTGCAGTGTCTGCGCCGTCAGGCTGCTGCCTGGCTCCAGGCTTTGCAGAGAGTCTGCGTTTGGCTGCTGGATTGGGGTTGTGGCTATCATCCTGACTGCCTGACTTCACAGCCTAGCATCCTTTCTGTCTTCATTGTTCTCAGCAGGCTCATTTTCTTCCCAGCTGATGAACAGAAAAACACTTAAAGGTCAATGTCTAAGGAGACCTCTTAACCCATTAACAGCGATAGCAAAGTCAAAGGAAACTGAAGCAGAAGAACGACTGTTTGTCTGTTTTGCTAACATAAATTTTATCTATTTGCTGCAGTGAATTAGGGGGAGAGGACTGCTGCTGGTGCTAGATGTCTGTCCTGGATAGATTTCCTGTGGGTGACTTGGGGCCCTAATGCTTTGCATCACAGTGCAAGATCCATTGCAAAAACCAGGAGAAATGTTTCCAAGAAATGGTTCTAAAAAGAGAAGTTGTTCATTCATGCAGTTATACTGATAAGAGAACAACAGTTAATTCTTTGGAAAGGCACAGACTGGTTCAACAGTTAATTCTTTGGAAAGGCACACTGGTTCTTTTATATATATATATATATATATATATAAAAATGTATATATTTGGTCTGCAACCTGTTTCTCATTCTCAGTGGCAAATGCATGGTAATTGCTTCTGCTGGCTAATGAGCAACTTAAAATCACATGATTTGCTATAGCGACTTTCTTTAGTCTGTGTTTAATTGATAGGTGGTGGATAGAAACTAAAACTGGCTGAAATGGGCTCAAGTTTCTTGTTGCATAAATGAATTAAATATGGTTCTGAACACTGTAATTTCCTTTTTCTTTTTTTTTTTTTTTTTTTCCCTCCTCCCAGAAAATGGCTGTTCCACCTGCTTACGCCGATCTGGGCAAATCTGCCAGAGATGTTTTCACCAAGGGATATGGTAAATAAAGCCACAATAAATTTCGTCTTTTATTGTCTGCCTGATTCCTGAAACTGTTAGGATTTTATTACTTTTGTCTGATAAAGATTCCAATAATTTCCATTATAATCCAGAGAATTTCCTATTGTAGCATCACATTGCCCTTGCTGGCTGGAAAAAGGAGGGTAACTTCTTTTGACAAAATTCTTCTGGTTCCCATAGGACTGTTGTCTGTTTTGAAAGAAAAATTGTGTGTGGTATTTTGAGTGTTTCCTTGTATCATGAATAGGATCACTGATGTCAGTAGCTTGCTTACGAATCAAATGTTGTTCAGTATGAATAACGACATTATTACCTAATTTGGTCCCAGTTATATTGCTGAGGTCAGTAGGATTAATCAGTCAAATGCTATGTGGACTATGAGCTGCTAATCTGCTTCATAAAAACACGTGGTTTGATAACTTTACCCTTGGTTTATTTTTTTTTAGTAGTTCACAGGTGATTTAGAAGGGAGTTTTAAGAAATAAATTGGCGTGCTTTTCAAGTTAACATATATATAATTCATATTTTTTACTTATCTTCTAGGTTTTGGGTTAATAAAACTTGATTTGAAAACAAAATCTGAAAATGGACTGGTGAGTTTGGAAAGACATTGATATCCACAACATTGCAATGTTCTTGTGTCTACTGCATATTTGTTTTTAAAAGTAGAATATCTTACACTCCCCTTATGAATTTTTAGATATATTATCACCTTGCGAGTTAACATTTATAATTTTTGTGTGATATACGAGACTGTGCACAAACTGAGAGTAGAAGATCCAGTGAAGGGCTCCTCTACAACCATGGGAATTGCTCACTCTGAAAATCGTGCTGCTCTTCGAGGCCATCGCCGTGGCCTGCGCTCGGAGGAAGCGTCAGTGCCTCCCTCTTGCTTTACTGGATTGAGTGAGCAGAAACAGGCTGGTTTCCAAATGTGCTGCACGCTCTTTTCCTTAGCAGTCACTAAACTCTTACAGTTTAGTGTAACGGTGTATTTGAGCTAATATTTAGAATATGTCTGTGAAGCCTTCGCTGACTTGCGTGCTGATTCACAGATACACCTTGTACTAACTAGCTCATTATTCTGTGTTACGCTGCTCGTAAGCCTTATCCACGTTCCTGTCCCATATCCATTCCCTTAGCATGCAAATATATATATAAAATGTATATATGTAATTTGTTTTTCCTTTTAGGAATTTACAAGCTCAGGTTCAGCAAACTCGGAAACGAGCAAAGTTAGCGGTAGTTTGGAAACAAAATACAAATGGGTGGAATATGGATTGATGTTCACAGAAAAGTGGAACACCGACAACACACTAGGCACTGAGATTACTCTTGAAGATCAGGTAATTTTTGTCTCAAAAGATGCAATTTACAAATTAATTTACGACATTTTCTAATTATGAATCCAAACAGTGAATTTCTTTTCTGTTCAGCTTGCACGTGGCCTGAAGCTGACCTTTGACTCCTCCTTCTCTCCTAACACTGGGTAAGAAGTGAGTAAGCTTGAGTGACAAAAAAAGGCATTTTTTTGTTTTCATTTACCAGAATGCTGTCTTGCTTCTTTACCTCTTCTGTCCTAAGATATTGAGACAGTTAATAATCAGTCTGTGTGTGATGAAACCCTGCACATCTGCTTTAAATTTTAGTATTAACAATCCCTTTTTAATCATAAAGTATAGCAAGCAAGCTTTTAAATACGGTGACTTGAAAATCGTAGTCAGAGTTAGGGTGGGAAGAAAAGGTTTTGTTTGCACTCCTGTTGCTAATTTCTGGCCATGTCAGAGGATGAGCCACTGTCTGAACAAAAATGCTAAACAAGTCAGCTGTAATGCAAAGTTTAACAAGCTCCGGGAGCCAGTTGGCCACTGCTCTAATGGGTCGACACAGTAATTGGGCTCTTCTCCCGAGCTGAATTTATCATCTGAGTTCTTGCTGGCCACAGCGTGCCTTGGTGGTGGATGAGTATTTCTGACACGGCGATTGGATGCCATGTTTTATGTGGGCCAGAGGGATTAAGCAGCAGCTGCAGGTCTAGATGTTGGTTTATTTTTGATGTTGGTTTATTTTTTCCCCCTGATTATCTTTTTGCAGGCAGTGCTGCCAGTGAGTCAAAATATTCTGCACATTAGCTTCCCAGAGCAGCAGCGCTGCACTGCAGGCTGCCAGGGTTACAGTCCCAGTGGAGGTTTCATCCTGTCTTTTAGATGTAGTGCCCTGCATTGTCAGCTGCTTCCAGTTCGCTCCTAATTCTAGATTAACTAGATATTTTTGTATTTGCTAACCAGAATAATCTCTAGTGTTTGTTGAGAGTTATTAAACGGGTAGGATTCTTAAAGAAATAAAGAAAAAACCTTGCACGAGAAGGACAAGTTACAGCTCTGTACCTATTTCTTAGACACTTCACATATGCTGCAGTATCCGAGTTACAACAGTTGCCCTGTGGGAGGACTATTACAGTTTGAATAAATGGAGTGAGATTCAGTCCTGGTGTGACCTGGTTTAGGTTGACTGGGATGCATCATGTCTGAATATGGGACACCTTCTCCCCCTCCCTTACTACTTAGGGCCTGCGGTGAGTCTTTCAACAGGGAAAGTCATTTTTAGGAGTGCTCTGTGCTAGCTTGCCTCTGTCCCTGTTGAAACAGTTCTTGGAGACTGTTTTTGCTTAGCTGAAGCGAAAGGTTGATGTGAAATTTCAAATTAGCCTGACTTTTGTGGAAAAATTTTACTAAGAGATTTGGCCAAAGACAGGAAATGCTTGTAAGGTAAAAAGATAAGTATAAAATCTTAAGTAAGAGTATCTGAATATATTAAGACATAACTCTTGCCTTGTGACCGTCTGCACCCTTGATGTAAACCAACCTAAAGTAACATGAGAAAACACTGTTCTGGCCAATAGTATAAAAAGAAACAAATGACTCAGGAAAGTTTATTTCTGCATTAACCTGGCAGCCTTTCCAACGGCTGCAACCATTAAACTTCATAAAGCATCTTAAGAGGAGAACAGGAGGTCAGAGCCACTGAAGCAGCTGACGTCCTTAGCAGCAGAGACTTTCCCTCGAGAAGCCAGAGGCAAAGTAATGATTTTTTTGACATCTGTCACAGTAAATGAAATTACCCAGTTCACTAGGATTGTCTAAGAATTGCTTGGGACACGCCAACTACTATTGACTTTTTGTGGCAAAGCTGTAAACTGCCACAGTTTCCCTTCCTTCCCCGCATCTACCAAACTTCCAAAACCGTCAGATTAGTTGGAGACGAGGATTTGTTTTTGTCCCCTCCCATCCGCTTTATAGCGCCGCTGCTTTTCAGAACGCAGCCCAGAAGTGCTCAGTGGGGCACCACGCTGCATTTTACTGCTTGATTGCAAATAATTCGCTGTAGCTGAATAAGGGTTTTGCAAATGTGGAAGGTAAGAAGGTGAGATACCATGTGGCTCCCCAGGTGTGTATACTCTGTCTTCAAGAACTATTACACTGAGTTAAAGTAATTGATTTGATTGAATTGCTACCTGTGAGTGTACCTTTTCAAAGATGCAAGATTCTTTCTTTTCTCTTCAGGAAAAAGAGTGCTAAAGTTAAGTCAGGGTACAAAAGGGAACACATCAACATCGGCTGCGACATGGATTTTGATATTGCTGGTCCTTCAATACGTGGAGCCCTGGTGGTTGGCTACGAGGGGTGGCTGGCAGGTTACCAAATGACTTTTGAGACAACAAAGTCCAGAGTAACCCAGAGCAATTTTGCTGTTGGCTATAAGACCGATGAATTCCAGCTTCATACTAACGTGTAAGTATTGGCAGACAGGCATTAGAAAGGAATTTGAAAGGATTTTGCTGCTTACTAGAACAATGAAAGGGACGGAGTTTCAGCAGTGGTGAAAGAGGGACTGCGGATTTGAAATTGCTTCTTCGTTTAAGAAGGCAAGCTGCATTTTTTTAGCTGCATTAACTTTTCTCTGAATTATCTGTGTGAGGGAGTGCATGATAGAAGGAACTGGAACTCACTGAGCACCCAAGCATCCAGTGTTGATCTTTCTAACGGATAAGGATTAGCAGAATCTCTTAGCAGAATAATGAAACAAGTGGGTTATAAAAATATTCTTTGTGAGAGTTGAAATAAAAGCAGTGCCTTCCTTTTGCACATGTCAAAATCAAACAAAATATAGCTGAAAGAGTTAATCAGAGGATTAGTACAAGAACAGGCAAAAGGGATTGAATGGAAGAGATACGGACTGAGTTTGTTTTAGTACTGGAAGGGACATGGTGTAAAAGTTTGTTTTAGTGTTATAACTCCTAATAATCTATTTACACAAGCATTTGTCCTTTCTGAATGCATGAACGGTGGGAAACCAGGACCAAATTCCGTGAAAACCTTAATTCTCTGTCTTGCATTCCTCTTAAAAAAGCAATTTATGCCTTTGGGGAAGACTTTTTTTTTTTTTTTTAAGATTAGGCAATCCCTAATCCATTCCCCAGCCCCCCCTTTCCCATTCTCTTGGGTAATTGGATATTTTGCATGTAGCAGAGCTATTGCAGGCTGTTCCTATTTGGGGGCTGAACAACTGTTCTGCCTTCCTGGAGCTGCTTCTTCAAAGGCTTTCTGTTCTGTTTCATGCAGAGATCTGGTTTAGGAAGCTCACACTGCCTCACAGAACAATTGAACCTTCACAGCCCAGACAGGATGTTTGAAGGATTGCCAAAGCCCAAAAATGTGGGCAGAAAACTTTCATCAAAACAGTATGCAGGGTCCCCCTCCACTCAGTAGTTGGGAGCTATTCCTCCAAGCACAATGACTTTCAACCTTGTTATACTGTAGCAGGTCAAACCGTTGTATTATTGGCTCTTGCTGTAAAAGGCTGTAATTATTGTTACTCTTAATTAAAGCAACAGCAGAAAATAACTTTTTAACAGCAGCAGGGGCTCAGATCTTGCTCTACCGTTTCTTGGATTCCTGGCATCTGTTTCTTATGTCACTGTTGCCGTACATGGATGATAAATCATCTTCAGGCGGATGCCTCATTTATTTAATATTCATACTCTACCAATTGACAAGCAAACCCATAAACATGTGATATGAATAGAAACCTTATTTATTGATATTAATGGATTAGTTAGGTATTTGACGTGTTTCAGCTCTGAAATGTGTCAGAGGCTTTATATAACCCCAGAAACAGTTGTGTGTGGAACTCCCCTCACTGTCCTGCTGGGTTGTGTCATCTGGACAGGTCAGTGTTTCACAGGGACGCTGTGGCAGAGCTGCTGATTTCACTACGTGGGGTTTGAACCATCATCTTTTGTTCCTGGCCTTACACAGACCAGCTGGGGACTTCAGCGAGTTACTTTCCTTAATGATGCCTTAATGTACTAATTTGCATAGGGGGATAATGTTTGGGGTTTTTTTTATCTACATCTGACAAGTGCTGTTATTACTACCAGAATTAAATTTGACTTTTTCATTAGAATTATTATTTAATAATAAATAATAACTAAAGGGAGGTAGGGCTGGATAATTTCTAGTTTTAAATATGACTTTCCTCATTTTTTAAGCATAGCTCAGACCGCCCCCCCTAATGTTGCAGGTCAAGACAGAGCTGTGTGGGAACCTTGCACAGAATCTGCCTGTATAACGAGCTCTTCTCAGTCCTTTTTAATCCCTCCTTTTCTTGAGAGCCAAGCACATGCAGTTATATGTGAGCTTCAGTCTTATCTGAAGTAAGTATTGTAGTATTTTTCTGGAAGAATTGCTCTAACACTTTAAAAGGCTGCTGCTATTGCTTGAACTTTTGAACAGGCGCATCACTACTGTTTGTGCAACTGTTACGAACATCAGGCCAAAGGGGTAAAAGTGGAAAGATTCTAAATCTTCCCCTTTTTTTAATCACTAGAGGTTTGGTATACTCTAATAATTGGAACCAGATTATGTCATAGTTGAGAAATAATCATAAGTATTTAACTTGCAGAGGTCTTCCTGTGGTCTAAAGCCCGTTTTGTGCAATATGTTTGTATCCTCTTTTAAGAAAATGAGCGAAAATGGAAATGCTCACTGGTTTACAAGGAGTGCAAGGCTTTCTGAAGTCTTTTGCTCTTATGATCTGCATGCTCTAACGTTTTGCATTCTATTTGCCATGCTGTACTCCCTGTGTGACCTTGGTGTCAGCAGTAATTGGAAGTTGTGCTACTCGGTGGCAGTGCTAGAAGGCTGTCACCCCTCAGCTGTTGGCCAGTGCTCTCTGCAAAGTAAAATTAGTTTCCTTTCAGTTTCTACTACAGAGATATCTGTAGTACCATAAAGACTAATGTGAATGGGTTTCATTAGCAAAAGCCAATAGACTTGGAGATCAAATTGGCCTCTTCACTCCGGATACAGTTCATCTGTGTCTAGTAAAAGCGTGCTGACGGGGCAGTGCTGGGGTGGCTGCTTGGACTCGGTGACTGGGCACAGCCCTGCCGGGGCACAAGGGAGACGTATTCCTGGGAAAATAATTATTTCAGAGGTATGCAGAGAAGAATAAATTTCTTTACTACAAAGATTGCCATTGAGAAAGAAGGGGAAATTGGCAGCTGTTGTTATTAATCTATTTTTGATAGTTTGTCATGGCTTTTTTTTTTTTCCAGTTTCCTAAGTTGTTTGTTGAAATACAGTTCCCATCAATGCATTTAAGTGTTTAAAAATGACTTCATAACCCATCTGGCCTAATGTCTTAGTTGTTACAGGGATATTAAATGAGTTGGAAGTGAATGTTCTGCAAATATAGATTATACTGGGGGAAAAAAAAAAAAAAAAAAAAGACTTGTTTTGGGGTGCGGTTTAAAACTAGACTAACGCATTCCTTCCAGGAATGATGGAACAGAATTTGGCGGCTCCATTTACCAGAAGGTGAATGATAAACTGGAAACTGCTGTGAATCTTGCTTGGACAGCCGGTAACAGCAACACGCGCTTTGGAATAGCAGCCAAGTATCAGATTGACCCAGATGCCTCTTTTTCTGTGAGTGCTCTGCATGTACATTTATAAGCATTTGAGAACAGGCTCTTGTAACAGGAATGTGAAGCAACCTCTACAGCAGGAAGGAACAGTTCCGATGCAGTTCCGTGCTGCATAGCTGGCACATGCATCTATTTGCCTTGGTTTTGGCAGCATGAGAGCACAACTATTGGATTTTCCTTAAAAGTGACACAGAATGTTTTGTCGTATTGTCGGGCACTCTTGTGAAAATTTTGTCATGCCCGTCTTGGAAAAAGTTAAGAACTGTTGAAACCATTATTTTCTGTAGTGACTGTAGATTCGTTGAGATTTTGGATATAAGTTATGGCAAAATTAACTAGATTCTTTTCTGATTTAAAACATTAAATCCTTTACTTGCTTAAAAGGCTAACCTAACCTTAAAAGGTTTACCTAAACCTAACCTTAATTTTCAAGCAGGAAGGTCCTTGAAGAAAAATACTAAATCATTTACATACGGTATTTTTTCCCCTTTAAGGCAAAAGTGAACAACTCCAGTCTGATCGGATTAGGATACACTCAGACTTTAAAGCCAGGTAAGTGTATGCAGAAGAAATTCAGAATCAATAAAGTGATATTTTAATCTTGAAATATCAGAGGGGTTTTTGTGGTAAAACATGACTGGTTTTGCCAGATGGCTGTTCAGCTTAGCCAGCCAGCGATGAACTTTTCCAGGGAGTGCTCTGTTAATTTTAGATGTCTGCTGGGAGCAGGATTATTAGAGATCATCATCCGCTGACCAGTCAGATCTCTTTTATGTTAAACAAAATTTATCTACAATTAGGTGTTTCACAGATAAGAAAATACATTTTAGTACTTTGCGAGTACTAGAAGTTTGACTTTGTTTTGCTTGAAAATGTGACTTTCTCAAGGTCCCCTGGTCCAGGGAGAGGACAATCTTACTGCTGTGAAATTGGTTTTAATGTAGTCTAATAAATCTGCTGCCAGAATACTGAGCAGATTGACATCAGAGATTATAGTAGACAGGGCTTGGGCCTTTTCATACCTAGATTTCAGAGTGGTTTAGAAAGGTGGGTATGTATCAAGGCCCCAATTTTTCATAATACTGGACTCTAAAATTAATCAGTAGACCAGTAGCGGTGAACTGACTCAGCTTTAATTATTCGCCGTGATAAAAAGCAGAATCTGTCACCATGGTTTATTATAACTTTCATAATTCAGACAGATTTCTTATCTGCAAATTGTTTTAAAATGCCCAGTCCTTACAAGGCTAGCTGCCAAATTACCTTAACCTAGCTACCCAAGAAAGTAAAGCAGTAACACAGACACTGCACTTACTGAACATAAAGCTCTTTGCAAGTTTTAACAGTTGGTCTTTTCTCTCACTTTTCTGTATTTTGCAGGTATCAAACTGACACTGTCAGCTTTGTTGGATGGCAAGAATGTCAACGCAGGTGGTCACAAACTTGGTCTAGGATTGGAATTTGAAGCATAAGGAGTGATTCTACGATCGCTAATTTGAAAATACAGCATAGCTACCTTCAGAATATAGTGTACCTTTCAATGTTTTATGTCTGGGATGCAAGTATTGCTAAGTATCAGTCCTGCTAGTCCTGGTTAAAGACAGCTAAGCTTTAAAATGATGTTGTTAAAGAAGCGGAGATAGCATAAAAAAATCCTAATTCCAGGCTTTTTTTTTTTTTTTTTTTGGTGTTATTGCCCATCACACCTGTCAGCTGCCACATGATAGGATGTAGGAAGGTATTAATTACCTTTACTAACGTATCGACTGCACAAGGAATATGTTAATGTGGTATAAAACCCAAGACTTGAAGAATTGCAGACCACTATATTATACTGTTAGTTCCATGAGCAAAATGTTCCGACACACGGTTTCAATTCACGATGGAATGTGCAAACTTGTCTGAAAAAGGGATTTTTTTTTTTTTTT